TGTATATTAATTTATTCAAAAATTGTCAAGTTCCTACAGTGTAATAAAACTCAACATGAAAGGAAAACTTGTTTCATTTAGTAGCATTATTGTACAATATAAAAAAGTCCAATTTCTATACTACAAATTTGTCTGAAACCTACCAATCCTACCCCAAAACATGTGGTCTCAGGAAGACACCATGATGAGACAGAGTGCAATCTGCTTTCTCTGCCCTTGTCCTTTACTTCTCTTATAGGAGCATTTGATGATAACATAAAGAGCATTTTACATAGCCTGCTGAACTCTATCATTACTCTTTAATCCAGAATCTTCATTTCCTACAATCCTGCTTCCAGTGCCAACCTCGTGTTTTTAAGTCCTAAAATAAGAATTATAGCAGTTGGTCGATGACTGAACTTTCATTGTAAGCACCGCATTGGGAAACAGAAGATAAAAAATTTAAAGGAAAACTCACAGACTATTTTAAATTGTGGAGAAAGATGCATGACTTTAACTTTACCCCCTTAATCAGGTTAAAATAAGTGCAATGTTCAGTGATACTGTGTAAATCACATGGACTTTTCAAGCATCTGTCTGCAGATGCTTGATTCTGTAAAATCCAGTGTGCTGTACTGACTTTTATAACTCAGCATCATCCCTACCTGCTCTATATTCTCCCAGAAAAATCTAGGACTGATTTTCCACATTTTCTCTGTTCTGTAGTTCTGTGTCATGTTGGGACAATTTGATTTGGAAGGTAGAGGAAAGGAAGAGGGATATATAAACCCAAAGCTATCCAGGCGTAAGTTTCTTACTTAAATCTTAAATCTATTTACAATCTTCTTCTAGAATCATAAGCTTCTTTCTCTAAGTCTTTGGAAACTGAACATCAGTAAACAGGCTTGGCTGCCATCCTGTGAAAAGCATACAGAATTGGCACTGCCTGGTGCCCACAACTGGTCACCTGGTCTTGCCAGTGAAATTGTGGAGTAAGAAGTAACTGATGTCAAACCATCCCATATGGATTCAATTGCTTAAATTTTTCCAGTCTGGGTTACAGACTTTCACTTTTCAACGATGGTTATATTCAGGAGTAGCTAAGTCACTTTTTGCTAGCATACATTTTAACCAAAAAAATAATCAAATAAACAAAAATTCCTATAATTTTAAATTATTTTGTTTATTTACTTACTTTTCTTACTTTATTCACTTACTATTTACTTACTTTTAACAATTTTTTATAGTTTTATTTTTTTAATATTTAGAGACACCCTGCAAGAGGCTGCAAGAGACAGAGTGGAGCAGAGCTTGTGCTCTCAAGCCTGAGGAGAGCTGGGGCTGGTGGAGAGACCCACGGAAACCATGGGCTGGCTGAGAGGCCCGAGTACAGCAGAGAGGCCTACATAGAGCCGAGAGGCCTGAGGATAGTGGAGAGGCCTATGGAGAGCAGAGCAGCCTGTGGAAAGCAGACAAACGAGGATCCCGGGCCTGTGGAGAGGCCTAAGCAGGGGAACCCAGGCCAGTGGAGAGGTCTGAGGAGACCTGGGCCAGCGGATAGGCCTGCACAGAGCTGAGAGGCCTGCATAGAGGTCTGTGGAAAGCAGAAAGGCCGGTAGAGAGGCCTGTGTAAATGGAGAGGCCTGTGAAGAGCAGAGAGGCCCGAGAAGACCCAGATGGGCAGAGAGTCCTGTGCAGCACCGAGAAGCCAGTGGAGAGCCAAGAGGCCAACGGAGAGCAGAAATGCCTGTGGAAACCCAAGAGACCTGCCAAGAGCTGAGAGACCTGCCAAGAGCTGAGAGGCCTGCCCAGAGCCGAGGGGTCAGCAGAGAACCAGGCTGGCAGAGAGGCCCAAGGAGACCCAGGCTAGTAGAGAAGCCTGTGGAATGCGGGGAGGCTTGGAGGAAGGAGGAAAAAGCAAGGCGGGGACTAACCCCCTTGGAGGCTGCAGCTGCACCTAGGACAGGGCAGTTGCAGACTGTCTAATAAAACTCTTCTGTCTTCTTTAACTGTGCCTCTGTGGATTTTCTTGCTCCCATGTCATTATATTTTGGTATTTAAATTTTGGTATAATTAGTGTTAGGACCAAGTTACATTAAGCAGATATGATACTAATTAGATTAAGGAAGAAGGAAACTTAACTGGGATAATTAAGTTCCAAGACCTAAAACTAATAAGTGCAAACTTCAGAAAAAGGAAAAATCTGTGGCTTGACATTTGTCCAGAATTGCAGAGCAAGTAAAAATAAGTCAACAGTCTGAAAGGTTAACCACCAATTTCCCAATGTCTGCTTTTATGATTATGCTTGCTCTGCAAATATACTAAAACATGGAACTTGACCCTTTACAGTTAACTTTTATTGATAAATAAGAATAAGGCCAAACTTGAAAGGTGGGATCTCCCTTTAGAAGAACAAAGGGAAGATCAAGGATGATAACTTTGTCTTGATTGATTATTGGAATTGTAATCACCATTTATGATCACTAACTGCTAGACTGCAAGTTCTGCTTTTGTAATTTGCTTTCTTCCTGACAGCGAAATTACCACTGACCACCTGAGTGGCCTCTGTGTTTTATGCCTTCATATTCCCTGAGCTATTAGATTTCAGGGCCACTCTTTTGTCCTCCAAATGATGGAGAGTAGTCCTCACATGGAGAAATAAAACATTCTAGTTTGATTGACTCTATGTCTCGATCTCATTCTGGTATTCAGAAACTTTTCTAGATAAAACAATTCAGATATTTTTTACTTCTTTGACATTCACAGTGCATAACTACGGGATCAGGTAAAAGAAAACTAGACAAACAAAAGGAGCTTGAGCTTGCACATTTTAATCCCAACTCCCATGTGAATATTTCTATTTATACTTTAAAGCTTTTAGAGACAATTAGATCACTCATTCTTATTTGGAAAGATTACTTGCGAGCTCTGCTAACTAACCTTTTAATTTTGACATATCATATACAGTTTAATTAACAGTCTTAATAATTTTGGAAGGAAACAAATACTAAATTTACAATAAAGATTCAGAAAATGAAAAAATAGGAACTAATGTTTAAATTATGTAGTTATTACATCTGTAGGTTTTATATGGACAATAAAATTATAATGCAAATACATTTAAATTGTTAACTAATGTAATAAAGTATTCCTTAGCACTTTTGTGGTCACTTATTTACACACAAGTATCATTCTTATGGAAATGGAAAGACTTACAAAAATCATATTAAGTGAAGTAAGCCAGACCCTAAGAAACATAGACTGCACAGTTTCCCTCATTGTAAAATCAATGACCAAACACAATTATTACTTATCAGAAATAGGACCAAATATTAAAGGCAGAACCCCTCTGTAGAGAGAAACTCCAGGTCATATGGCCAGTAGTCAGCCTAAGGCTTTTCTATATTCAATAAAAAGCAAAAGAACATCGCTCCCTCGCTCAAGTTTCCCAGATTGGCAAATTTGCAGTTTATCACAAATATTACTGAAGACCACTAACAACTTGAGGTTTATCACCAGCTGTACTGAGTTGCTTTATCAGCCAGCGCTTATGATTTAAAAAAACATTTCTGTAAAGAAAATTTCAGTGCACCCCTAACCATGAGAATGAGTTTCTAATGTCTTGAGATTTAAACTATACTACCTCAACTCAAAGCTATGATTTGCTTCTGGTTCTGCAGTTCAAGACTATGCTTTGCTTCTGTAAATCTGCTTGCTTGCTTTGACAAACACCACCTGCATGTGGGTTTTCCCTTTCAAATTCTGCTGGGAAAAAGGGCCTGCCACTGCACCTTACATCCCAAATACTGGGGTATAGTTGCTGAGCAACCAATAAGGACTCTTTGCTCTGAGTTGGTGGCCTTATTTCCAGAATTGGGACTTTCCATCATTTGAAAATTAGTATATGTCTAGGATAGTCCTAGAAGAGAATCATAATAGCTCAATTGTGTACACATGACCATATAAGATGATGCTAAGTTAAATGAACTCCAAGATAGTGAAACAAGAGGTTTTTCTTTATTGCTATTGTTTTAATGCACTATGAGAAGTTTTTCTTTTTTCTTTCATTTTTTCCCTCTGGTATATCCCCTGTTGTCACTGTATTTCATTATGTCACACTGTGTATTGCATATATGTTTATCTGAATTGGGGAAAGGAAGGGGGAACAACAAAATGGTGACACAAAAAGGCAAACCAATGCAACAGCAATACAAGACAATACCTTGGAAATGAATTTCACAACTTGTGGGGTAGGGAGTGGGAGAAGGGAAAGTAGAAGAAAAACAAGAAAAAGAGTAACAATGTTCGACAAGAAATGTACTCATTACTTTATGTATGTAGCTGTAACAACTCTGCTCATCACCTTAACAAAAAAAATTAAATTAAAAAATTGAATTTGAAATTATTCTAAAACAGCAAATGTCATATTTCAAGAACTGGTAGTGATACCTCAACCAAAGTCCACGTATTCATTTTTAGTTTCAATTAACAAATATGCATTGGGCACCTAGGATCTCAGTCATTTTCTGTGTTTTGGAAAAACAGTGCTATAAACACAGAATCAGTACTAATATAGCCTCTTATCACTTCCTGTAACTTCAGCACAAAGCACTGCCATGACATTACAATGGTTAGGGTGGCCCACAATAGAAACATGAGGCAAGAAAGGCCTGGGTTAAAGTGTCCAAGGCAATTGGTGTCTTTTCAGCTACACACACTGGGTTGCTCTTCTCTAAGAAATAAATAAAACACTTTAGAAGTCATCATTTTTTTCCTATAAATTAACAGAGAATACTTGAAGACTGGTTTATGACTGATAGCTTAGGTCAGGGAGGAGGACATCTGACTTTGGGAGACCATCAACAGTGGCCCCAGTTCAGGCCCTGTGCACCAGGGGGAGCAGCTACCTGACACAAGCTTATTTCCTGTGGAGATAGTAGTTTAAATACATTGTTTCTCTATCACTTTCAACGTTTCTTTCACTGAAGAATAGAGAACATATTTTCCTAACACTAGAAGGAATGTCTCCATGGTTAATGACAGTAATATTCTTAATAGTCGGTAAGTAAAATCAATTTTAAAATTTGGACGCTTTCTACTACAAATTCAACAAAATCTTTCTTTTCTTTTTTTCCTCTGCCCCCCGCCTCTCAACCAAATCTTTACCTAAAATTTACCTGAGAACTTTATTCCCAGACTGACACAGATCTCTTTTTCCTCCAGGAAGGACTTGTGGAATATCGGTGACCCAGAAGGAAAGCCGCATATCTGTGTTGGAAGGGGCTTCCATGACCATAGACTGCACTTATACAGCAACAGGGTACACTTATCTCTTCTGGTATGTCCAGTATCCTGGAGATGGTCTCCAGCTTCTCCTGAAAGCCATCACAGCCAATGAGAAGGGAAGCTATAAAGGATTTGAAGCCAGATATGACAGAGAAAACACCTCCTTCCACTTGAAGAAAGCTGCAGTCCTAGAGTCAGACTCGGCTGTGTACTACTGTGCTGTGAGTGACACAGTGGCAGAAACCACAGGGGGAGCTGAGCACAAACTGAGGGACAGCAGAGGTCTGGCAGCTGAACATCTGCCCTTCAGATTGTTGTGGTTTCAGCACAGTCTTAGGTGTGTGCCTTCACTTACCTCCTGATCCAAAATTCCACAAATGTCAGAGGAAACAGGAAATGGACATCACCATATTTAGCTGTTCAGTAGTGAACTGAAGAAGACTGGTCTGATGGAGAGAAAGATGTGGAAGCTTTTAGGAGTCTCATTCGTCCTATCCTGTGTCAGCTGTGCTGTGAGAAGGTGGCTCTGCAGAAGTCAATAAAACAAGCAGATTATGGTAACCTCCTCTATATTGTGGAATTTCACATTGGATGGTGGTGCTATTGTGCTCATTTTGAGACACTACCCAAAAAGAACATGTCAAAAGGAACCTAATGCTTCTCCTCTGTGTGATTTCCATTTAAATGGGGTGGGCAGCTGTGTGTATGTTCAGCAGAGCCCTATGTTCATGAGGACCCAGGAAAGAATGCCTGTCATTCTCAAAAGCACTTCTTAAGACAGAGCAGCCTTCAACTGCCATTAATGTCTGCAGTATCCTGGGTAGACTCTCCTGCCTTTGAAGTTAATTTCTAGTAACCAGAAGAAACACAAAATCAAAAAATATTAAAATACTGCTAAGAAATAAAAAAGGCTTCAGTTATTTCAATACCCCGGCCTCCCGTTTTGCAGAATCAGTTTCCTACTTCTGTGTTATGCAGCTCAGTGTTCCCGACCCACAATTCTGATCCAGGCCTGGTCTTGGGGTTAAAGTGAGGAAATCTTGTTTTGTAGTTATATTGAAAGACTAGACATTGGAGTCAGCTCTAGTCCTACTGCATCAACCTAAATAAGTCCCCTTCCCAAAAGGTGTGTCATTGGTAGAAAACTGAATGAACAATTCCAAGATTAGTCCCAGTTTTGTAAAAACATATTCTTTAAAGCAAAAATACATAAGAGTCCATCACATGCTACTAAGAATAGCTATGAAAGAAAGCATAAAACAACAAATACTGGTGAGAATTTGAGGGGAAATGGAACCCTTATGCACTGTTGGTGGAAATATAAAGTAATACAACTTCTATGGAAATCACTGTGAATATTCCTCACACAACTGAACATAGATATATCATATGATCAAGCTGTTCTTCTCCTGGGTATATGCCCAAAGGAATGAAAGTAAGCAGACAATAGATGAACCTGAACACACTGTTTATTGTTACCCAATTCATACTGACTAAGCTGTGCAATCGACCTTGGTGCTCAGCAATAAACAAATGAATAAAGAAAATATAGCACTTTTATAGACAAGGTAAAATCATGACATTTTCAGAACTTGAGGAACCTGAAGAAAATTGTGTTAAATGAGATAACCCAGACTAAAAAAGACAAGTGTTACATATTTTCCCTCATATGTGGATTCTAGATAAAAGAAAAATGAAAGAGTAGAAATGGAGCTACTAGTAAGGAAAAGGCAGGGAGGGAGGTAAGAGCTGGTGCAATGATAATGAATTAAATACATTGTATGAATTCATGAAAATGTCACAACAAACCCATTTTTATTTTCAATAGACTTTATTTTGACAAATATGTACATGAAGCTAAGGAAATGACATCCAAACACTATCTTTTGTTATTGTATTTACCTCTAAACCAGTAAGAATAGAAGAAGAGAACAAATCCATTATTTTGTAAATTGAATATGAAATAAAAACAAATGTTGTTTAGCCTATGAGTAGAAATCATGTTGGTTAACCTAAATTTTAAGCCATTTTGTTTTGATTAGATTTTTAATTATAGGAAATTTCTTTAGTAAATGGACATGAGGAATGACATGGAACTTCCTGAGGTGACACAGAGAAGAGCTCTGCAATATAAAGTGCTCCTTGACCCCAAGATTCACACCAGATTTCTACAATAGAAGTATTAGGAATGAATGTTAGTGCAGAAATGAGGCTTTTGTAAATCAATGCTCTTACTTAGAAAAGATCTAACTTCTGATATAAAAATTGATGCAAACAGAAACAACCTTCTGATTGGGAGAAAAGTCTCATACATTTTAATTTAAGCTGAAGATGGATTTTTACTTTTAAAATGGAACACAAGAATAGTGCAAATTGATTATTTCTTTGAACATGAGTGGGTGATCATAAGAGGGTAGTATTGTCTCAGAGAAGAAACCTCCATACTTCTAAAGGTGAGAGAAAAGGAAAAAAGCTTGTTGGTGAAACTAGGATTTTTTTTTAAAAAAAGAAAAAACTTCTTTTTTCTAATTGGTAGAGCAGATTTCTACTGTGTTTCCTAAAGTATAATAACTACATCTGAATGAGACTCCTTTCCCTTTCCATTTACAAGCTGGGTCCTCGGAATGAATGATATAAGTCTTTTGTGTCATACTAGTGATCCTGTGACTTCTCATGAGCTGAGAACATGAAGTTTAATGTTTTTGGAGTTGTTGTCTATCTCAGGCCTGTGAGGAAAAACATGAATGTTCTTACCCCCATGTAAAGCTAATTTAGATTTGGGGAGCATCCACTATCAAACCACTCTGTGACCTCTGTCTTTCTGCATGGGGTGAGTAATCAACAGAAGGAGGTAGAGCAGAGTTCTAAGTCTCTGAGGGTTCCAGAGGGAGCTACCACCTCACTTGGCCACACTCGTACAGACAGTGGTTCTCAGAACTTTAGGTGGTACAGACAGTAGGCTAGGAAGGGCCATGAGATTCTGGTGTCCACATACACCAATGGTGATAAAGATGAAGGAAGATTCACAGTGCATCTCAGTAGAGCCAGTCCATGTACTTATATGCACATCAGAGTCTCCTAGTCTGGTGATTATGCTTCCACACACCTGCAACTACACCCAAACCTACAAGAACATACAACGCCTGAGCTAGAGGATAAGCGTCAGGACAGAGCAATTCTACTATGTTCTGGATGCCATGGGAATTAAGGTCAATAGCAGGGAGGGTTTGATTGAAAATTTTCTTTAAGGGAATTGTAAAATATTTAATTTTTATGTTACTGATCTGCTTGGATTATTTTTCAGTTTTATCTTTACATTCTAATTTAATTTTTTTAATTCTTGAATATACCAAAAACTTACGTTTAATGTCTGAATCTTGAGGACTATTCACATAATACCCATACAACTGTCACTGAAATAAGGCTGTAAACATGAACATTGTCCTTAAAAGTGTCCTTCCTCTTGCTTTTTCAACACTAAAGTATGATAAATATGAAAGAGATGCACAGGTCTACTGCATGTATTTTGATGTCTAATACAGTTTTATATCACATCTACCACATGTGCAATATCCCAACATGTGGCTGGGAAATATGTTCAAGTGATACAAAGTAGTAAGGCTTCTAATCTTAGCTACATGTACCAAAAGTAATTTGGCAGGGCACTAGAATAATTGAATGTTTTAAAGAAAGGGATTTTTTTTCCCCTACTGAGGCTTGAACTTAGAGCTTGACATACTTGCTAAGTTTTTTCTCTCAAGACTGGCATTCTGCCCTTTGAGGCACACTTTCAACTCTGGTGCTTGGCTGATTAACTAGAGATAAGACTCTCATGTGGAAGCAAGGTATAAAGTACAACCATGCATGATAATATATACAGGGCTGTATACATATACACAGAAATTAACTAAATAATGGTGTACTCAGAGGAGGAATCCAAAAGTGTTCAGTCCTCTGAACAATTAATTGACTGTTTATCAAAGTAAATATCAGGAATTGGAGACACATTTTGCAAGGTAGGATAAATGGAGGGAAAGAGGGCAAACATAGTCATTATAGCTAATTGCATTATGTAAAAATGAATTATTTAACAAGAGGGTAGAGAGGAAAGGGGGAATAATGAGGGAAAACAATAGAAGGGGTGACATTGATCAAGATGCTCATAACTTTACTTACAGAATTGAAACTTCTTTGTACAATTACATAATAATAAATTTAACTTAAAAATAAGCAGGAATCTCATGAACTTTCCTGCCTGGACTGGATTCTGACCCAGATCCTTAGATCTCAGATTTTGAGTAGCTATAATTACAGTTGTTAGCTAACAGAGCCTACTGTAATGTAGTTCTCATATATATAATATATACACATACATATATATATATATATATATATATATATATATAATCAAAGTCAATCAATTGTAACCTTGTTTTACCTTCACTTACTTCAATAATTTCCACATAAAATCTTTAACTTCAATGAATCTATGATAATACAGAAATGCAGGGAAAAACTCATTGGCATTCCACTTTAAGTCACACTAATTTATGATAAAATGTAATATAACCAATGAACATTTAGTCTTTTAAAGCACAGTAACAAAGTTAATAAGAAAATAAATCTTTGCTACAAAAATTCATAGTATCAGATTTTACATTAATATTATCATGATATACAAAACCAGGAAATAGTATCACTCTGACACGTTTAAGAAATTTTATATATATATATATATATATATATATATATATATTAGATGCATACTATATATTATATATAATTCCAAATTGTGAATTGACTTACATGATGGGATAAGAAATCCTGTCCCTTAAAATAGGATCAGTAATTAGCACATACAGAAGTTATACCTTTCTTCAGTTAGCATTTCATCATTCCTCGTGGAGATGTGAAGATAATGAGAGCTATGAGCTTCTCCAATACAGAGGAAGTAGATAGAAATGAGAGCAAGGTGCCACCCTATATATGTCCTATTCTCTATATGCTTCATTAGCGCATTTTCATGTTCAAGATCATGATACAGCTTTACAAAGTTCTCCTTTCACTTAATTGTGTTTAGGATTACATAGTATATATCTTTCTCTGTGAGATCTTTGCTTTTATATAAATTATCAACTTAAAAATGCATGTTCTGGTGTTGTGGCTAAGAAAGTTGGTTTTCTGATATTGCTAATTGTCTCAGACTATCCTTGACCCATATGAAGCTCCAGTGTGTACTTTAGAATTCTTTCCCTTTCTTATCTCCCCTCCTAAGGTTCTAATCACATAGGCTTTCCTGGGGAAGGAAAGCCTAGATGTTCTCTCTGTGGCCAGCAACTATAAAGTCAGCAGAGTACTGCAGCCAGCAGTACTAAGAAGTACCAGTTGAAAATGAAGCAAATCTCCTTATTCTCTGACAGGCTTATAGTCTTTATGAAAGGACAGATGGTCTCAGCCTATTTATTTCATTCTTCTTGGTTTCCCTGTGGCAATAGGAGACATGTTCTTAGGAGAAATGGTTTACTTTTCAGAGGTCAAATGATCAATTCAGGGCAGTAGTTTACCACACTTCATATTGGGCTCCCAGCTTCTTGACTTGATGCATATACCTG